AAAGAACTTCTGCATACACAAGATCACAGTGGCACTGAACCATGATTACTGCTTACATACTTCTTGTGCTGGCCTTTTACTGATTTTTAATCACAATGTCTCCTAATGCTTGACAACGAACACCATGTGACTAAAACAGGGAGGGCCATAACCCTGATTTAGCATTAAGGAGCCAGTATTATCAGCTCTTGGTTTTTTAACTGTAAATATTTCTCAAATTGTTGCTACCAAACAGCTTGAGACATCCTGTCTACTCAAACGAGGTCTTTGCCAGGAGAACGGCACCAGCTTTGCAGGACAAGACAGATACATGGAGCCATGTGTCACCAGCATCCTTCTGGCTCTTTCAGTCTTACCAGATCATCAGCACTCCTTGACAGGTTCATTCAAGCTAAGCAAAGCCAGAAACTTCTGTCTGAATCCCAGTGGGAGACTCCTGCAGAGCACGTAACGGGGGGAGCCGAAGAGCTCCATTGTGTCCCAGGTATCTCCTGCAGAGCACGTAACGGGGGGAGCTGAAGAGCTCCACTGTGTCCCAGGAAAGCCCAAGATCTGGTGACCAAATGAGGTGCTGCAGTTCTGCTTCTAACCACCCAGAGACCACACCAGGAAAAAGGTCTTTATGTTTGTAGTAAAATAGCAAGTCTCAAATCATGCTGAGCAAGTGCAAAGACTAGCAAATACAGAGGTCTGTCACAACTGGAATTTACAACTCATCACCTCTGCTGGTACCAAAACTCTTACAAAATAATTACCAAAACTATGTGCTCCAAGTAGTTACAGCACAATTTCCTCTAAGAACAAAGTGCAGTTTACTCAAGTGACAGTATGATAGAGATTAGACCAACAACAGGTTTTGTGTGTGGCTCTCATCTGTGGGACCACTGTACTTGGACACAGTCTTTGCATTGGGAAGGACTAGAACCTGCTGCTAAGAAAGCCCAAATGCCAGCAGGTAGTAACACTTCCCATTGCTCCATACGCTGGCCCATGCCTACAGCCACAAGCTGCCCCTACTTCCTCTCTGTAGCTTACAGAGAAAGGGAAAAGGGCTGAAAACAAGGATGTGATCCAAAACAAGAATTCAATCCCCTCCCCGATAACTCCTTTCATCCAATGTATCACAACTGTAAGCAGACTGCGAACAATTAAGGCTAGGAAAAGGTAAGTTATGCTCATTACTGTCAGAAACCATTCATTCACACACATTTCCTTCTCCTGTATAAAGTAACATGACTTCCCAGCACTGAAACCAGGTGTTCTTCA